AAAAGCGAGAGAAAGCTCGCAACAGCAGCCCGTTTAACCCCAAATAAGAAGCTCAAAAGTTAACATCCCTCCCTTCACTCACCTTGACAACGTCGTCGTTTATGCGCTTTGGGTCCCGGTTGACAAGGTCGATCTCTTTGGTGTGGACATCCTCCATCGTCTTCTCGTTCAGACTGTCGTTGTCCATGTCTTTGTTGTTAGGTTTGTATATGTTCCCTTGTTTTCGGATGAACGGCGAATGCAGAAACTCCTATCAGGATCCGGAGGAGGCAGAGAAAGAAGAGGGTGAAGAGGAGGAGGGATAGTGTGCAGTAGTGCGCTGAGAGGGAGAGAGACTGGAGCTACGAGTTAGCAGCCTGCCCCACAAACAGGGATGGGTTTAAATGAATAGAAAGGGAAGCACCACACCCCTCGATCCAACCACAAGGGGTCCTCACCAACCGGGCTGAAATCTAACACCGTGACCTGACACAGCTGATTCAATATATACCTGTGAGCATTTTTACATTTTAAACAGATGCGTAAAAGCGCACGTTCCAACTGTTAAACAATTCTCCATTGAATAGCTTTTTCTAAATACATTTTGGATATATTTGAACAAACCGCACTAATTAGCTATATTTGTAATCTGGTTTGTGAATGTGTGAACAAGGAGGTAAAAAACTCTGGGTTTCCGTGTCCATCGCGTTAAAAACTGAATGCGTAACGACCCCTTTGGTCACCACAGTCCTACTCTGTCCTTCGTAGTTCTTTCAAACACATTCTCATTTATACTCACAATCGCATGGCTTCATTTGTTAGTGGTGAAGCATGTGCATGGTTTATGACTGACTTTTCTTGGATCAGAAAAAAGATTGTGGGTTTACTTTGACTTTTACTCTACTTTTACGCACGGAAATGTAAACGTGTGATGCGTAAAAACAATAATCGGTTGTTCTGTTAATAAAGGTTTTAGCAGGTAAAATCTCACACCCACATGCTAATGTGTACACAATGGTCCTTCACATTCTCCCAGCGTGTGTGGGAGAAGCGCTCATGCCTAGGTGTCATAGAAAAGAATAATGATTGAGACATAGCGCGCTGGAAAGATATCCAAAATTCCCTTCATGAATGCAAATTACAAGCCAGAATAATCAGTATAATCAGCTCCCCGGTGAATAAAACTCCATGTCAGCTAAAAACAAATCAGCTGTACACGAGAATCATACTGTACCTCTTCTGTTTCGCCGTCCTTCAGTCCTCCTGTCATGCTGTCCTAAAGTTTGAACGGATTAGCGCGATGAAACAGACAAGAAGACAATATAGGAAGCCGAGTGGGAGGCGTGGAGGGAAACTGAGAGGACTGGGGCTCTTCTCAGGGTCCTTTAGAGAGCTCTAATTCCTGCCCTTGTAGTGAACGTGACTAGAATTTAATGCCAGAGCTGTGAGGGAAACCTCCGGTGTTTCCTCGGATCCCACAGAGCGCGTCTTCGCAGCCCGAGAGTCACCTGTGAGCAGAGACAGGAGAGCCACCGCATAACCTGCTCAGGCAGGAGGAGAGACTGACGGGATCTCAAACGAAAGGGGTGTTGTAGCTGGCATGGAATTACTTTATTTGGGGACCAAGGCAGAGTAAAATAACCTTTTTGTTCAGCGAAATGTGGGCGTTAATTGGTACTGGCAAGGTGTGGGTATTTGCCATACCTTAGCCTAAGGGAGACCACTTCAAATGGTTTTAGAAGAGAGCAAGAAAAAATATACTAGAAATCAAAAAGCAATGAATGAATAAGAAAATTAGAGGAGTTTTTCAGAATTCAATCAACTATTGCAGCAGATATAGAACCCTGCCTGCCACCACTAGTTTCATCCATCCTCAGAAAATAAGTTTATTCTAATATTTACAGCTTTTATGAGCCCAAATTTGGTGACTTGGCAATCCAGCTGTTGTTCTCAGCTTTATACAGTTAGGCAGCCATGCTGGTCACTCTGGTTTGTTTACATTCTTGTATCAACTCACCTTGGAGTGACACCAGCTGGCACACTCAGCTGTTTTCAGCCAGTACATTGGAGCAATTTATAGGTGTGTCTCATGGGAGTAGCACTAAAATAAACTAGTTAGCAGAGCCAGTCCTGACCTCTCTGGGGCCCTAAGCAAAATTCTGACAAGGGCTCTCTCCTACCTGACCTGTAAGCTGTGAACCATATGCCATTACCACACAGTCACACCTGACACCCCAGTGCTCCCACTACAATCCTCTCTCCTTTGAAGATCCAGTGTGTAACATTTAGGAGGATCTATTAGCAGAAAGGCAATAAGATATTCATAGGTATGTTTTTATTAGTGTTTAATCACCTGAAAATTTGTATCAAACCAAACACCGGCTCTAAATAGAGCCATCTGAGTTTTTCGAGTGTTTCTCAGCCACCATAGTTTCTCTTTTGCGCTTGGAATGGGAAGGTGAAATGAGGGAGTTGCAATCTGCAACTACATCACTAGGTGCCACTAAATCCTACACACTGGTCCTTTAAAACAGTTTGCTCCACCTGTTGGTCTAAGAATAAGTAGACCTATACAGAACGGATTTACTGAATAGCATATTTTATATACAATCTTAAGATAAATGAATATTAACATTAACATAAGTAAGAAACTGTAGAAAACATAAAATATAGAAAATAAATATAACATTGAGCTTTGCCTCTGCTGCCTGGTAATTAATCCAGTCCTCACAATATTATACCATCCAATGTAAACAGAAACCTAAATAAAATCGGCTATGGCTGCGGCTTTACGTCTCAAGACAGCTGCATCAGGTCCATTAAAACTCCCCAAGATTTATTTTTTTACATTTTCAAATATAAAATATTATTTATACTATGGTCTGGTGAATGCTTGATGGTTGTTATTTATTGAGAGATGTGCATCCATATTTACCAGTATGCCCATCAACATTTTAAATTCAATATTTAATCAATAGTCAATGGCAATCCCTTGCTTTCCATCTTGCATTAGTCCAGAGTTGTAACTAAACCTTGACTGAAAGACTAGATAATCATTGTATTGTTTAAAAATTATGTGTGCCATATAGCGCAAATTTTATTTTGTCATCGCGAATATGAATGCATGTTCATGAACACAACATGCTCATCTTTTCTGAGGAGCAGATTATAAACGCTGTTGCCCATTGGCATTTAACAAATGTAGTTACGAAGCCCCTGAGTGGCCACAGAGAGAGAAAATATATATTGAAGCCACATTTTACTACATTCGTTCTCACATTTTGATTTATTCATGGCCACAAGATATGCAGATGTTAGTTCTGTAAGAAGTTTGTTCTAAAAGTAAAACAAAAAAAGATTCAACAAGCCTGCAACTGCTAATGTCAATAAATTGGTATTAAAAGGATTAAGGTAAAAAACGTGTCATGCTGAACATCCACTAGACACATTTTTTATAACCTGGGAACCCAAAGTTGTCCTTATTAATGGTTTATAATCAATCTATGAAACTTTAGTAAATTATTTATTGACCATTGATAAAGCAAATGGTTAAGATTTAAAAACTTGCATATCATTGGCTCTTACAGTATGAGAAATATTGTTTTTGCACTATACAAACAGCTCCAAGTATTCAAAATCTAGGAAGAGTAAAGAGTATCATTTGACACCAAGTGAACTTTTGGGCTACAGGACGTAGAAAGTGCTCTCAATGTGTGACTTCTCCTGAGGCCTCCACCTCCCCAACACAACAACACTTTATTATGAGAGTGAATCACAGTTCCAGGATCATGGGAATATTTACACTTAGGAACTTTAGATATATGACCAGACTCCCTAAAACATGTAAATGTGTCAGTCAGAGCAGTGAGAAAACAGGTTGTTTAATAGCTGATTCTCTCCCAGTGCCAGTGGTGGAGGAGGGTGCTGGAAAAGCTGTGTGATCACAGTAAATTCTAGATCAGGACATCACAAGTGGTTGCTCAAGAGTGACATAAATTCACCTTTAAAGGCATGACAATAAGTCTATACATCATTATTAGAAAGAAAGGAAGAGCTGATATAAATTAATTTGCACTCAGTAGAAGACATGTGATTTCTTGTCTGGTGCCAACACTCAGGATATGATGTAACTATCACAGGTGCTATGTTTAGCTCAGTGGACATGAGACTGATAGGACTGACTGACTTTCATACAGCAGTAATAACAACAAAGGAACAATACTGCGCAATGGCAACAGTAGCAGTAAAAGAAGTAGTCACTGATAGAAACATTATACTATAAATAGCAGCAGCAGCAGCAATAGTAGTGGTAGTAATGGCAGTAGGACACTCAGCTACAATAGTTGTGACAGTAGTACGATATACAGCAGCAGCAACAGCAGGTCAAAAGTCAAGTCAAAGCAACTGAGCTTCACAGAGCAAAACTGCACACCAAAAATATATTTTTTAAATCAATGACGGTTAACACTAACTTGCAGTTTTGACATGTTGGGGGTATTTTGCCCTCAGTTGACCCCCTCAGGCAGCCTGTCCTCACAGCTTGGCTGTAGATGGTTAAACTAAGGTGAGAACTGTGGTCTTTAAAAAAGACAAAGAAGAACAAAAAACTTCCTTACCTTTAAAACTGAACACCACTGAAGATAATAACAGGCATTTAGTGCTAAGGGACACTGCTACAGGGTAATATTTGCAGTAAATACTAGTATAAGTGGTAGTAGTACTCCAGCGGTATTCACACATGGAGTACAGGACATCACAAACTTACAGAAATATACAAACCCTTAATGTTTAAAGAATATTCCTGTGCAGAGAAGTTAGTATAACAGGTAGAAATGCTGTGCAGACCTGCAGGTCTAACAGCAAAGCCCCAGGTCGTGTTCCATCGACCCACAGCTCATCTTTGTATAGGAAAATGTCTTATGCAATCTCAGCAAAGTAATTTACGAGACCTTTTTTGGCACTCAGCTGCATATCCAAACCACACTCATCTCCTGTGACAGAAGAAACCACCCAAAGACAAATTACCTTGAAGAAAAATGTATTTATTTTGGTCACAAAGAACACATTTGGCTTGTTAAATAAAAAGTTCCAAAATGAGTATATTACGAAGCAACAGTTAAAAATGATCCAGCAAATAAAATGCAAACAAATAAAAGTAGTATTTTTACAGACAGATCCATGTCACATTATGATTTATTTGTGTAAAATGGATATATATATAACTCTTGAACACTAGCTGGACTGAACTGAGGTTGATTAGTGCTGAGGAGATAAAAAGCTTTAGCCACACACCTGTGTCTTCCACTATTGCACAACCTTGAATTTCCTCTTAGAGTTGAAAAACTAAACACAAGCATATTGGCTTGCAGGTTGTCAGCAGTCCCACATCAGTGAAAGGATTAAAAAAAAGCTCTGACAGTACTGCTGGCCTTCAGTTGTCAGCTGGAATCAAAACATCACATCAGACAGTGTCTTTTTCACAAAGAAAATCTGCGGCATGCTCTGTCTGATTATCTGCGTTCCGGTTAAGAAGTTCAGCAGGTTTGCTTGCTAGTATGCAGTGCAGTGAGTAACAAGTTGTAATTGTCAAAAAGGCAAATGTAGCTGTTATTTACAGCTATAATGTAACTTAATGTACTCTCTTTTCCTGGGCGACCACACAAACTATACTGTATTCAACAGGCTGGTTGGTTCATATGCCCACTTTGTGACAACCTTATTTTAGTACAGTAATGAATTCATCTTTACTTCCTGAAATCATATTTTATTTTGTCTGTTTTCTGGGGAGAGCCCCTGGCACAGTACATTTAGCCATGACCTGTCATGCTTTATTAATCAGTATGTTTTATATCAACAATGGATCAGTTGAATACCTACACTGCCATGTAAAAGGTGTCACTTGCAGTGATGAACTCAAATCAGAATTATCACCCAAGTCTGCTGCTCTACTGAGATTTCTATCTGCTTTTAGTTCATTATTTTGTTTTTGATTTGATGATTAGGTCTCTGCAACCTTACCCTGTTTAAAGAAGCACCAGATAGCCGTCTTCAGCTCTGATAAACCACCTGTGCACTACCTGACCAGCAGCAACCCACAGACAACTAGCTTCTAATGAAAGTGTCACATCTAGTAGCTAAACCAGAAGTTTCCTAATGTTGCTCTGTGTCTGATGGATGTGGGTTTGTACTTGTTATAGCAAAATTAAAGTGTAGAAAAGATGAAATATCACCAGAATGCACAATAAGTGTGTACCTGACACTCTGCTACATAACTGTTCCACTGATCTCTCTCTGTTTATCGCCGTTTATATTTGAAATCGTACAGCCCATAACAAGTGCAAACTCTACAGGCTTGTACCTAAAACTCAACTTTATCAAAGCCACTGCAAAAAAGGTACAAATCATGTTGCTGTCTGACTCCTTCTGCCTGTAGAAGTATTCCAAACCCTGCCCACTAACCAGCAGGGTTGTAGCAAAGAACAAGCACCTCTCAATTAAATATGCATGTAACAGTGTCTCAACTCAACAGAGGCTTCAACCAAACACAGTACGAAATGTGGTAGGCCTTCACCACAATATAGTTAGTTATAAGTCCTCTTCTGTCAGACACTGCCAAATATCAATGTTTGCCAATCAAAAATTAGTTGTTGCATAAATATTAAATTAGAAAGCCAGCCCCCCGATGATATGCAATCTTGTTTTAACTCTATTGTGTATAGCTTAGGTCCATATATAAAAGCAAATGCCCAATATTATTGCCAATGCACTGTAAAATTAACACAGCAGGTACAGTAAAATAAGCCTGTAAATGTGCAACAAGCTGCATCTTAGCATTTAATATTCATTTGAAGTTCTCTCCGACTGTCTACTCTGATTCTGTTCATTCAACTTATAGCTGAATTATTTGCAAAATATACAATATATAAAAAAAGCAGAAATATTACATCTCTCAGCAAGTCAGCAGTATGTGTGCTTTAACAACAACATTACACTCCTCCAACTGATTCTCTCAGCCACAAAGTAAAATGGAATGACGAGAATTTTCTTTGGTCACAATCAGCAAAACAACTCCATTTTTGGTGGTGCACATGAGCTTTTCACAAAGTCCCAAACAGTATCACAACCATTTACTTCCCTATGGTGGTGTGAGTAATAAACTAAACCATTTGCATGCATTTGTTGGTTTGCAGGTTAAATGGCATGGCATCTGGGCTAAAACTGGGGTAAATTTGGTTTAAAAGATTTTATTTTAGTTCTAGGTAATGTTTACCTATTGTTTATTCGTATATCAGCTCCTAGATAAAAATAGAAATACATTGTTTTTTAATGTTACAAAATTTTGAAAATTTTGAAGATGACTTCACTGCAAATTATAATTTCTAAGCCTCATTTTTATCTATTTATAACTGTATGTATGAACAGTTATAAATACTTTTATATAGGATAGGTAATAGGATTTCATATTTTACTTTATAAAGAGCTCATGTGTTCCACTACAGGCATCATTCACTCTTTTTTCTTTGACTGCAATCTGTCCTACATTTCTTTCTCCATTGAGGTGTCTGCATTAGTTCTCAGTGGTCTCCACTTGAATGGAGGACAGAATCTTTCCCATACTGTGAAAGAGCGGCGTTATGAACATGTCAGTCAGACTCCTCCACACCACCTGGACTGACGGTAATAGCATCAAGAAGCACTGGATCACCGGCATCACCAACCTGGAAGGACGAGGTCAAAAAGTTACTTTAAAACTGATGCTGAGAAATGATGCTTTCAGAAAGTGCAATAAATAATATGGACATTAGGCTATTATTTTATTTAGATTTTTGGGATCTTGTCTAAACATACACGTTGAATAGATTATAAGATGTTCTATAGTTCTTGCTTTATAGAACTGTAGAGCATATTGAGAAGTACCTGAATAGCATCAGCGCAGACTTATTTTGCTCTGCTTATCTCTTTAAGCATGAACTTCTGCTGACAGTCAGAGGTCTTTGATGAGTGATAGTTGGTATAAATGCCATTCCCTCTCCCATTTACATCTCTTGTAGAAGGACTGAGGCTCAGATTTGCAGGATTTTATTGAGCACCATCAATGTTCAAAGGTCATTGTTTTCACCTGATGAAATGAGCTGATTTACAGAGGGAAATGTGTCTGAGTTTGAGCAGGATGTAAAGACAACTGCACACAGCTGTCTACCTTTTTAACTTTTCAATATAAAGCTTGCTTCTTTAGCTTAGATAGCTGTCTCTGTGACTTAACTTTCACAAAGATTTACTGATTCAAATCCTCAGAGTCACCCAGCAGGTTCAGTTTTTAGCTCAAGGATGCTGTTGATGGACACAGGTTGCTACAGAAATTGAATCAGTGACATTTAAATCTAATCTAATCTAATCTAATCTAAATTTAACAGCCAGGCTTACCTTCTTTTTCCGAACAAGCAATATGAACGTGTGTATGATGTATGGCTCTAGAGGAGGTATTTTCTTTCCTCCATATAGGGACATATAATTGAATATCTGAAGGATCTATTTTTAGGATGCTATTGATGCTACCAATGTTTCTGCAAAATGTCTTAAAACACTTTGTCTCCACAGTATCATAAATACAAGGAATTGATAATAATAACTTAATTAATAAAGGCATAATCCAGCTTTGAATATTTATGTTTTGGGTGCATTGACACTACATTTATTTTCAGTTAGAGGGTTTTATACGATGTTTTGACACACTTTTGGCATATTTTTCTATAACCATGTTTTAAATGATTGAAATATTTGTGTCATGTTATCAGCTACTAGTATTGTCCTATCTGTAAGGTGGTTTATACCTTTGTTTCAAAAAGCTCAATAATGCACTACATCACATTGTTACATTCCTGTAGCTTTGTGACCTTCACTCCAGTGCAGTAGAAAGGTGTGTTGTGAAAGCTGTGTTCTCCTTTGAAGCAGCACCCCTTTGTGTGATCTCCCTTCCCGACATTCCACTTGTATTGACCAGCTCTGCAGCATCGCCACCCAGTCCTCTGTTGATGACTACCTGCACTGATTTCAAACACTGGAAGGAATCATCCGGATCTTGTGACCTCACTTAGGTGAAAGGTCATGCTAAAGTAACTCTGCAGCTCTCCATCCGCATCTTCTGAAGAATGTCCCACCCTGGTCTGCAAATAGGCCTGTATTGCTAGAATGCCAGCTATCTGGCAAAAGGCATGGGGTGTTTTTTTCTTTTTTCCACTACAAGCGGAACTCAGCAGTCCTTCCAACTTTCCATAGAGTGCTTACTTCATGGCATAAAACGTTGTTTCATCAAGTGTAAATAAATGGACTCTTTGGGTTGTGGTTGGGAACGTATGCATGTATTGCATGATTCACTTGAAAACCTGGGACCACCTGGCTTAATGGAGGTGCATATAGCCCACATAAGCATGACGTAATTATCCAAATAAAAATATGAAAACTAAAAGCGGACAAAATGGCCCAGTGTTATCGTTCTTGTGACATTAACTGTAAAAATAACTCAATGTTTGCCTAAAGAACCAGAACAAGCATGCTGGCAAGAGGCAGTGGCCCCTGAGGAAAAGCCACATCATGTTCCTGTAATGTTCCCACAGCAATTTAGTTTCTTGGTACTCAAAACAGGATTTTAAGTGATATCGCCTAATGGTATGACTATAATAGGCCTACTTATTTTAATCTTATATAATCTTCATAGTTAAAGTTATAATGTGTTTGCACTGAGTATACATTTTGATATTTTTCTGTATGTTACATGTTTTGTACCACTACAATATATGTTTACCCTCTCTTTTAAGTATTTCTTATACGTTTACTGGTTATCTCTTCCAAAATATGGAACACCTTATGTCTCCTGTCATCAATCTAGTTTGATGTTTGTGCTATTTTCTGAAATAAATTATTTCTTGTATGGACAACATTTGGCACTGTGCCAGATAAGCCATGCCCCCCACCCCCTCAAAAAAAAGCACCAAAGAGAAACCCGTTGAGAGGAACTTCTCCCTACCAGATGTGGATGCAGCTGAGCACCCCGAAGACCAGTCCGAGGATGAAAGCCATGGGCACGGCGAGCAGCGTGGTCAGCAAGCGGTAAAAGATGAATTTGACCAGCTCAAACACGGCATGGCTTCCTATCCACACTCTGTCGAAGCTGTGCGAGGAGATGGGCTCCGCGATGACATCTTCAAAACCCACCTGTCGCATAACACAAGTCAGGGGCACACAATGAGCTTTAGAAAGTGATCAGCACTGACAGGAAGGTCTTTGGAGATGATGGATTGACGCGCTGGCAGCGACTTCCAGGTATTCACGCTGCATATCTCATGTTTTGTTACATGGAAACAATAAGGTCACATTACTTGTTAACTGTAGATAATTCAACTTGGCAACCGCGACCCTGTGTAGTTTCACTTTCAAAGAGTAATTCCGCACATACAGACTTTACCTTCAAGTGCGCGTTGATATCGTTTGGATCTCGGTCCGGCGCCGCTGTATACACCTTCCCCTTCTTCGACAGAATGGGTTCTATAGATCTGTTGAACTCGTCTTCGTCCATAATTATGCTCGTGTCCAGTTTCTCCTTTTCCAGACCCATGTTGTACAGTCAGACGGGCAGACGGTGCAGGGAGAGCAGCTGGTGACGGTGCGCTCTGCGCTGTGCGCCGGACTGAGCGGCACCCCGCCCCGTATGGAAAGCAGCGCAATGTGGGGCCGAAAAGACACAACAAGCTCAAAGTCACTTCCCCACACCATTTCATTAGCTCAGTGATGACTGACACTACTGTGCAGTGCACTGGCCTCCAGTCATGAGCCACGGAGACCCAGGAGTCCTCAACCCTCATGTGATTAAGCATGATTAGTACAACAGAACCTGCAGGCTATTTTTTCTTTTTTTTTTCTTTTTAATACAATAAAATGATTAATATTTTTCAAAACGTGGTTGGTTGAGTGGAAACATTTTCTAACATAAATGGTGATGTTTTGGAAAATGTAGCCAGCTGTACTTATGAATTATGGTGCAGAAAACATCACATAACAATTTCCCCCAGGCCTTGTGTTTTGGAAAGTAACACCCACATGTTTACCCACATACACTTTGTAACTATAAAAGTCTGGTTATTGTTGTTGCTGTAACTGAACAGACTATTCTACCTGTTGAGTTGATTTACCACAACTTTTAGTCTTGGTCTGTGTGGATTTATCGTTTCATGCTCTGAACACACCAGCCAACATTGTTAGAATAACTGCAGGTCCTCGGATATCTAAACAGGAACACAACAGGCATGCCTTTTCCTCAGGCAGCCCTTGTTTCTCACGAGGATGAATTAGTTTCTGAGGACAGAGCTCGGATCTACCCCCCATGACCTCTCGGCAATAAATATGTCTATGATGTTTGTCAACATGAGAAATAATAATTATATGAATTAAGACTGCATGAGGTTATAGAGTCATGGTGCTAAGGATATGTTTTCATGTGTGTGCTTAGAGGTTGCTGTGCCTCTTATTAAACATGTGATATCAGGGTCCTGTTTTCCTAAAAATCTGTGTGTATGTGGGTGTGTGTTGTGCAGAAGAGCTTGTACATAAGTAATGTGTCTGAAAATTAGACACTCTAATATAACATAACCATATAGTCAGAAACACTTTTTGCAGTACTCTGGTTTAAGTTTAACTGAACCAGTAATATGTATTTTCTTTCCTCCAGAGCAGCTCTCTCTATGCAAAACAAACCTTTTGCATAGAGAGAGGCAAACCTGACTGCAGTCATCTGCACTTTGCATCTCATTTGTTGATGCGGCCGGTCCAGTGTCCTGCCTTTTGATAGGCAACCTGTAAACAACACCCTCTTTTGTTTAGACACCAGGGCCTAGATGTAACGCACAGAGACAAAAAAAAAAAAGTAGGCCACGACAATGAGTGACAGCAAAGCAGAAACACAGCAGGCAGAACAGATGGATGCTGGGCATTCAGAGTGATCAGGTTGATCCCTGGCTCCGAGAATGGCGACAATACAACGCCACAATACTCCAGGATTAACACGCAGAGAACGATTCTGACAGACAAGCATTCAGCGAGAGGAAACCTAGCTGGCTGGCCTCAGGGTGAGGAGGGGGGGAGAGGACGGTGTTGACATGACAGTATGTGAGTGTGTGGAAGAGAGAGCAGCAGAGGAAGTTATTGCCTTTGGTTTGTGTTACAGTTTGGATACCAATGCTGTGATGAGATTATAACAGGAGTTTTGCTCAGCCAGTGGCAGAGCCTAATAAGGATGCAGATGTTGGTAAGTCAGTCTGTCCAAGTGTTTAGGTTAGAATTAGATATTTTAATACTCAAGAAATACTAGAATATAATGTGCAGATTGCCATGAATTATACTGATCACATTCACGTTCCCAAGAGCATAAACTATTTCCAATTTGGCCACTCAGTCAACTTTCCTCTTACACCACCCTCTCACCAAAAGGTCAACTTTGCAAAAAATATTAATTGTAACTGAAGTGGAAGATAGCACTGAACTTTACAGAGTACCAAGGGAATCATTTGAACCCTGAATTATTTTCCTCTTGTCCTCTTTGCTCAGGACAATCTTTACATTTTAGTATCACAACTGGTAAGTTGTTAAGAACTGCAAAATGATCAGTATGTTGTTTGTTACACCCATTGGCTGTACTGAACATTGCAGCTTTTTCAAAGTCCATAACAAGACTTTACATGTTTAGTCTTGTTTTACAATCCAATATGAATCTGTACTTACACTATAATGCCATACAAGACAGTAACATTACAAAATACAGCCTCAGGATTTTTTGTAACAGCTTTAAAGGTCCAGGAAATCCTATGCACAGGACCTTTAAGTATAATTCTGATGTACCTGTACATTTATCCCACAGCTGTTACCCCTAAAAACACATGATATGCTTATTAAGTACAATTTATAACCAAGGTTAACCCAGTGGCCGCCAATCCATTTGGCATAAGGCCTTTATTTTTTATTATTTCCACTTCCCTCTTCCATTAATCATCTCACAAACCCTCAGATTTATCTTATGACCCTTTGGAAGGGCCTGACCCCTAGGCTAGAAACCACTGGACTAAACTACTGGAACTAAATGATGTATTTAAACTATAGCTCAACCCTGATAAGATACAGCACAACAGTAACATGCTATTTACATACTGATGCATCAATATAAACAATCTATATTTAATTATTTACATTTTTCTGCAGGATAACTACTTTTACTTTTGTGGCTTTCTCTTCATACTCAGTCACCAATCTGACGTATCCAGTCTGCAAGTAAATCTCCTGAACTCTGCCTATCTTCTGTCTGCAGTGTTGCTTTCATTTGGAATTGTACTTTGGGTGTTTCAAAAGTGTCAAAAGTGTCTGTAAGTACACAAGACCATGAAGAATGCAGAATGACCTCCTCTACCTCTTGGACCTCAAAGGCCCAATATGTTTGTGTAAAGCTATAATATGTAAAAACACTAGACCTATGTTTTATATTTTGTTGAGTCGTGTACTTACTTTATCTTAAATGTTTCTAAATGTTAAAACTCACAGAACCAGTCGTCTGTCAATGGCGTCATATCCACTTGGCCCTTTGTGGTTGTCTGCCAGAAGCGGTCATAAATTGGTCATACATTTTGAAGTTCTAAGCCACATTTTTACAATACACTTTTTAGATCGGTAGTTTTTAACAATATGTTTTAACTGGATGAAAAAAATGTGTTATCGGACGCCGGGATCTTAAATTATCAGAGAAAAGGTAGAGCTAATGTTGCTCTGGCAAGCCGTGTGGGTCGTCCTTTGTCTGCCAAACAGTGTCAAAAACACATATTTTGAAGGTAACACGTTTTTACCGGTTTCAGTCTCTGGGTCCATTTGTAAAAAAGTCCTGAACGATGAACACTGAAGGAACCGGGAGAAGCTGACTGCAATAATGCTATGATCGTGAAAGCAGCTCCCATGATCCCATGCTACTTCACAACATCATCCATCTCCTTCATCATTGTTTTGATGTGAGAGACCCATTCGTGGCAGAGATTACATATTACGTTTAAACCGGACATTGATGCATTTACAGAGGTTCATACATGTGACTTCTCCCTTGAAAGTTTATTTTGATTTCAGAGGTACATTGGGCAGTACTGTACTGAGGACACAGGCCAGTTAGTTGTCAGTTAGCCATTGATTGGTAAAATTTAAGTAAATGTGATAATATATATATACTAATAGCTATAACCAGTGTTCACAAAGCAATGGCTGGTAAAATCAAGAATTCACATATTTCAAAATTCCTAAACAAATTTTCGTATACAATAAATAGCCTGTACAGGTATTAAATGCTGCTGAAGCTCAGACTGCGGTGGTCACTGGCTGACCTTCATCTGGCCTTCTTCAATCCTGCAGGTTAATATTTAATGAATTCACCAAACATCCACATTCCAGGACATCCCGGCCAGCGTTCCCTTGAGGATCTGAGTCCTGATGCAGAGCGGTGTGGAACGTTTCCTCTGATTTCATGGGGAACAAATGCATATTTGTCCAGGAGTTTCCAGGGGGAACAATGATATCAGCGCACCCGCAGCGCACAGGGATTTCCTGTTTCTCCCAAAGGACCCTCATCTCTGTGGTCTGAAACACAGATCACCTTAAGGATAGTGAAGGGAAGGGTGTGTTTACTTGTGTGAACACATGTGCTTGTGTATCTGTTTCCATTCAAGCATGTATGAATACTGTATATGTATGTATGTGTGTGTATGCATATGTGTTGTGTGAGCTTTATGTGAGTTAAAAGGAAACACCCAAACTTTCCTTCACTCTCTGTCGCAGGACGTGTTTTTGCATTCTGACACTTACATTCATTAAACGTGTATTGACTTAATCTCAGACTTCATCATACAATAGTTTCAAAAGAATAAAAACAAACAAAAAATACAACAGAAAATATAGCACAGACAGTACAAAACAGAAGAAGCAATTCCCTTATAGGAGACAGCAGATCACATCTAAACTTGCTCACCTAGGGTGCATTTTTAACATGAACTGAATAAAAAGCCTTTATTCCCCAGATAACAAAGGCAATCACTTCTAGCTTTTTATTTATTGTAGAAACTCAACTTAAATCACTAAGATATTTACATCATGATAATTTTATCTGCAATAAATCATGGATTTGGCTCAGATTTGAGCCAAACCAGAAACATTGCGTGTGAAAACCTGTGATAAATGATACCCAGACGGCCGTACATACAAACCCAAATATACAATATATCAGCTCACTTTTATACAGGAGGCTTTTATTTGATGCAGGTTTGTCTTACAGAGCAGCAAAGGTTCAAATACAGATACAATCATATAAGAGCTGAGCTTGTGTGATGGTCTTTGTATGTAAATACAGTTTGTGCATGTCTATATTTGTGTGGGAGCACACACACTTATATATGTATATGTGCTCTGTAGTATATTTATCTTTATCCATGTAGTGTTTGTTTTAGGTTTCCTGTTTAATGTAAATTCTGCCATGATTGTGTTTGCAGAGCTGTATGCATGTGTTCTGTATTTATTTCTGTCAGTTCAGTGCAGGCTCTTCTGTTCTGATACATGTCTGTTTTGGAGAGCTACAGGTTGCTGACTGTCCTATACCCTGAGGGTAACAGGGTTGATCCCAGCTGAAGTGATAATCTG